AGAAAGTATAGAGAGTATAGAAAAAATGCTTGGGCCACTCTGCTTCATTTGCCTCAAGATCTGAGGAGTTTTATTTTAATTTGTTATTATTTTAGCGTGGCAATTTGTATTGTTTTCTCTTCAGCTGGGGTAGTTTCATTAGCGCTGTGGCCGTAAGTTTCAAGCAGCACATTTTATGTAAATTTAAATAGATTTTTACTTTGTTCCATTTTTCCTCTGTCTCAGCTGGATTCCCACTTTTCCCGCCCGGCAGCGCGGCTGCGGGAATTGTCAACACGGTACAGGAAATTTTGCGTATAAAGCAGAACGTGGGGCTGGGAGGAGCTGCCAGGGGTTTTGTGTAGCTGGACCTCGGCAGGGCAGCAGAACACGCTCGAGATCAACAGAATTGTCACTGTGGAGGCAGGACGGGGATGAAGGGACTGGACTCAGAAGGTTGTGAGAGTAAAACTCTGATTTATTTAAAATACACCACTCTATATACAGAGATCCATGAGGGCCAACTCCATTGGTCCAATGGAAAAAAACTGAGAGTAAAACTCTGATTTATTCAAAATACACCGCTGTTTATACAGAGCTTTGTGAGGGCCAACTCCATTGGTCCTGAAAACAACCCACACCATTGGTGTACAGTGCTTGATGCACAGTGATAGAGCTTAACTATAAACAATGTGAAAAACAAGAGAGATAAAGAATTATTTGCATTTTTTTCCCAGCACTTTCCCAGGCTTTTTGCCTGGCTACAAATTCTCCGTTTCTTTCTTTGACCGAATCTGAGACCCACATTGAATAAACAACCTTGAAACCAGCACAGACCAATTATGGCTCCTTCTTTGGCAGCGGGGCAGAAAGACAGAGACGTTTTACAATCTCAAAATCATCAATACCACGAATTCTGACACAGGAGAACTGGAGAGGGACTTGGAATGAAGGATGGACACTGGGATGTGTCCCTGTGTCCCTGTGTCCCTGTGTCCCTGTGTCCCTGTGTCCCTATCCCTGTCTCTATCCCTGTGTCCCTGTCCCTCTATCCCCTGTCCCTGTCCCTGTATCCCTGTGTCTGTCTCTGTCCCTCTGTCCCTGTGTCCCTCTGTCCCTGTATCCATGTCCCTGTCCCTGTGTCCCTCTGTGCCTGTATCTCCCTGTCCCTGTCCCTATCCCTCTATCCCTGTCTCTATCCCTGTGTCCCTGTCCCTCTATCCCCTGTCCCTGTGTCCCTATCCCTGTGTCTGTCTCTGTCCCTCTGTCCCTGTGTCCCTGTCCCTGTATCCATGTCCCTGTCCCTGTATCCATGTCCCTGTCCCTGTGTCCCTGTCCCCCTGTGTCCCTATCCCTGTCCCCCTGTCTCTGTGTCCCTATCTCTGTCCGTCTGTCCCTCTGTCCCTATCTCTGTCCCTGTCCCTCTGTCCCTGTCCCTATCTCTGTCCCCATGTCCCTGTCCCTATGTCCCTCTGTCCCTCTCTCCCACTGTCCCTCTGTCC